GCTTTACTCTTTTCCTCTCTCGCTTTCTTATTTACTTTTGATGGGGGGGATCTCTGGACGCATCTCTTCTCATCCCCGCAGATGGGGTGGAATTAAGGGACCCGTTCTCGATTCTTAGGTAGGTACTCAATTCCACCGTCGACGCACAGAGGGGACCACCGGCCTTGCCTATCTGAGGCAGTCCATGCCTCCTCGACGCAGCGTGTACTCATAGCCCGAGCTGCACCCGATGCGGGATGGGGGTGCGCATGCTGTCCACTAACGTCTATGTATTACTACGTCTACGTATTACTATGTGCCACCTGTGTACGAGGCAATCTGCCTTTTAATCTAGATGCCCTTCACTTTGGTACACCTACCTACCTACCTACGTAAATTAAGCCTACAATTTGTTTTTAATACCTAGTAAAAGCCCAGACAATTTCTTCCTTCGATCTGACCCGTGCCGTCGTCGTGTCACCTTACGTAGTGAGGCCCTCCGGCAGACCCGCCTGTATATATCTGTCTGTAGGTATGTCGTCCCGGCGGACATCGGAACATCACCTGCCACTGTCAACTCGTGGGTCCATATATTTTCTTACAGACTCTAAACTTGTATAGGTGTGCGTATGGCATCTAAGCGCTTAGCCTAGCCTGCCTGCCTGTCTTACCTGCCTACCTACCTACCTACCTAGGTGTGTATACTATTGATACAGTCCCGTCCGTTTTTCGATAGTAGATTGCATGAAGATTGGGCATTGGACCAACTACGATGTAGGCTGTAACACACGGTTGCCCTGCTAGACCCGTGCTGCTGCCACCTTGGGGAATTTGTATGTAACCTCTCGCACATGACGGAAGACCGAGCGGTATGGATGTAATATGTCGTCGTGTCTTCGATACGACATGAGTGCGGGTTCCGCGCCCATCTGTCTATTCGCCGCCGTATCGGTATGGAAATCAACCCAACCTGTCGCACCTTGTCACGCCCTGCCTCTGCTGCTGCTCGCTTGCTCGCGGATGCCGCACAATCGGTTATGCCGATTCCGAAACGTGGTTGGATCGTCGCGGCTTAATCAACCTGGAGGCCAATGCCGTCGCGCGTCGGGACCAGCTTGCTGCTATTTCCGGCAGCGCCGTAGAGAGAACCTACAGGCGGGCCATCTGGCACATGGCTTCTGTCCTCTCTCCGTGACGCGCGCGCGCCTCTCGCCCTTCCCCCCCATCCGCTCTCTGCGCGTCTTATCTCCTTCCGCCGCTCGCTCGCAGGTCTCTGTATCTACACCCCATTCCGCCCCCCTGCTATTGTTACACTGTCCTGCGAAACCCTCCCCTACCCTATCCACCCCTCCCCATAATCTCTCCTGAGTTGGAAATTGCCTATATACCTAACCCGGGAGCGATATTATTCTGTCGGCTACCCGGGTTTCCCTCTCTCAAGGACTGTGCCTCGCGCAGTCTTTCCCCAACCGAGTCAACCCGGGCGGCGGCGGAGCGACGGGGTAGCGATCGTTAAATAAAATAAAATCGTCATAGCGGGAGAAGATCCAGGCGGGCTGGGGTGCCATAGGTGGCAGGTCGGAGCAAAAAAGCGAGGCGTCTCCGAGGTCAAGCAAGGAAGAGGCCGCGCGCGCGCGAGAGAGAGAGAGAGAGAGAGGTGATGTCGTTAGCTAGTAGCCGCCATCCAATTCGTCGGCGAACAATCGACCTCGGTAAGGCGTCGAAGGCCTACCGCCTACGTGCGTATGCGTGCATGTTCGTGTAGGGATGAGTGGAAACATCTGTAATACGCATAGGGTGCGGCATAACGATTTGGCCGATCTCACTAACGAACCACACCCGTTGCCACCGCGATCACCACCATCATCCTCAGCTTTACCGTCGTCATCGGCAAAGCCACACGTCAAGATCTAGGACCCCGGTGTGCCTGCCTGCCTGCCTGCCCCCCTCTCCAGTGGTCATGGTGGCATCGGTCGCATTGATAATGGTAGGAGGTAAGTAGGGAAAATGACGGCTCGGTTGCTGCTTTGCTTCGTTACTTAGTTGGCAGCTAGCAGTGGTCGCCTTAGACCGTGGGGAGCTCGGTTGCACGCAGCAGGCTAAAGGGTGCCTCTCTCGTCTTTGGAATTGGGGTTGGGGGGATTTTTTCCCCTTCCGATGAGACGTATATTATGCCTGCATATACATACAGGACACAAGTGCACGCATACCATACATAACATACATTTGCAGTCGGGACCCGGGTTGGCTTGTTAGATTAGGTACATATATGCGCATGCATACAGCATACACGCGAGTACTTAGGTAGGTACCTCCTCTGCACAGGTAGGACCTACCTTTACTGCCCTTTTGCCCTGGCACTGCATGGACCGGCTTCGAGATTGGGGGGGGGGGGGAAGGGGGAAGGGGGTAAGGGGAGGAGGGGGGAGGGGAAAACGTGCGCAGCCCCCCAAGCTCGTCTCTTCTTGTCTTCCCTCTCGTCGTCGTCGTCGTCGTCGTCGTCGTCTCCTCCCACCTACCCACCCACACACACACGTTTTATTCCCTGTTTCTCGACAGCCCGGCTTCTGCTGCCCTGGGTCTCTCTTCCGGGTCTCTTCGAGTCCGACGCTTGCCGGCTCGACCTGTCATTCGCCCCGTGTACGGACGGACGAGAGCGAATGACACCTTAGGGCCCGGTTAGCCTGCGCACACGGAGCGCCCTATCGTATGCCTGCCTACCCAGGTATAGCCATATCTGTGTTAGGTAGGTAGGCACCTAGGGCAGGTCGGCATATGCATATACGCACGTATAGCCTCTCTCTCGCTGTGCGTGTTATGCACGGTTTATCGTGCCGGGTCAGCTGCGTGGGTCGAAGGGGGAACCTCGCTTCGGGCCATTTCCAGTGGCGATAAGATATGACAAGTTCGATATGCACAAAATCAACCTGGAGAGAGGAACCCAGCCAAGCGACTAGGGGAGGGGACGGGACGGGAGAGCGGAGGGGAGGGGAGGGGAGAAATGAGGGGGGGGAGGTCCCCTCACGTGGAATCCCCATTTTCGGCCAGACAACTGCTACCTTATCCCGTCTCGTCTGGCCGTCTCTCCCACTCGCTTAAACGCTCACTTACACACAGCTCGCTTCCAGACCTCCCTCTCTCCCTTCTCCCTGTCTCTCCCCCTCTGCGTTATCCCGTCTCCATACCCTCTCTTCCCCAGACCGATCATCGTCAGAGGACGAAAATGGCCAAAAGCAAAATTGAGAGAGAAAAAAGAGAAGAAGAAGGGGAAAACTTGAGCAGATCAAGTCAGAACGAGCATCCCACCAACCAACGCTTCACATATACGTACCCTACGTACATCCATCCATCCATTTGATAGAACCCAAAGCAGGGCAGAAGCGTTCCATCGCTTCCATTTCCATGGCATGGCGCAAAACCCCCCTCCCGGCTTAGCGCCTTTTCGCCTAACCCGTCTGACGGCCTCCGCGCGCTGCGACGTAGAGGTTCCCAGACGGATGGTCTCTGGGAGGAAAACAAAGAGGGTAGGGGCAGAGAGAAGAGAAGGAGAACGGGACCTGCTCGCAGGCACTTCTCTTGGTGCAGCCAGACGACGCGCAGCGCACTTATCCCGTTGCGCGCGCCCCCCAGCGTCGAGGAGAGGTTCGTTCCATGTGAAATCCCAAGGCCGCCGACCCCGTCGGTCCCAATCCGGAAGCTCGAATGTCTTACCCCTCGAGTTGTTATTGTATGTACCTACCTGCCTACCTACATATGTATGTAGGTTGGCGAGAGCCAGGTCGGTCCTCACGCATGTACTGTAACGTCGCGACCCCTGCCCGCCGCGCCAATGGCCCCAGCACGCTTCTCCCGTCTCTTGGTCTCCTGGTCCTCGTCTCTCGCTCTCGCTCTCGCTCCCTCCTCCCCCGCCCTTCCCCTTCTCTCTTTTTCCTTCTTCTTCGTTTCTCTGCATTCTCTCCATGTACGTGCTGTGTAAATTCCCCACTGGCAGCCAGACTACCTACGTAGCCAAGAGACGCGCGCGCAGACAGCGACCGGGGGGGGGGGGGGGGCGAGAGGAGGGGGTAGACCAAGGAGGGGAAAGGGTGGGGGAACCGTAGGGGTCGCCCGTCCCTCTCCCACCACTCCCCCTCCCTAGTCAAACAAACCTACTGACATGCTAACTTGCTCTGTTCCCCTTCTCCCCATCCTACCTCCCTCCTCCCCCCCTCTCCTTTCAGGGTCGCCTGCGATCTTGTCGCCTCTCGGACTACGGTAGCATCGCGCAGCCCAGCGCAGGCCCCCAGCCTAGGTAGGCTCCGAGCCCCCGGTCCCGAGCGCTGAAATGTCCGCGGAGTCGGGATAAGTTCGAGATTGCTACCTACCCTCGCGAAGCCGGAGGCGGCCGTGCGAGCCCGTCGTAGTATTATTGGCCGCAAAAAGCCTACTTACCTACCCCCCAGCCTATCTTCCCGTCGCTAATTATCTGCGGACACGGTAATTCGCCGGGGTGAATCTTTGTCCAAGTTCGCAGCAGCAAGAACCAACACGCACGCAAAAAAAAAAAAAAAAAAAGGAGACGGGTCACTAAAAATGTAGCTTGAAATCTTCGGATTGTACTTTGTGAGAGCGAACGACCACTTCCTTAAATACCCTAAGTTTTTTTCCAAAAAATGTACATATGTAAGAGGTAGAACAGCGAAGTTTCGAAGGGAAAGGAAAAAAAAAAAAAGAATAAGGGGGTATATGCTAAATCTTCCACGCCGTGACCGAAGCTCGTCGTCGCTCTCCAAAATCCAGTCCCATATATACTCCGAGTACAATTATGCCCGAATATTTTGAACGTTGTCTAACCCAATGTCCTGCTTGCAAAAGAGAGAAGAAGAAGAAGAAAAAGTGCCGGTATCCACAGATCGTCTTCGGCCGTGGCATCCAAGCATTCGTCCATCCGTTACAATGAATCATAGAAAAGTATCCGTTTTATTTGTACAATTTGTTGCTGGGGGGGTTTTGGTGCATTTTTTTCTTCTTTTTTTTTCTTTTTACGAGTTTCGTCGTTGCTTGCACTTGTCGTGGAGCAGGTGGCCATTCCGAGCCTGGACAAGTTAGTTATGCGTCCGATTAGGGTTGGTAGAACGAATCAGATATCCAACGTACAGTAGTCCTAGTGAACTCGGCACCGCAGTTGGGGCAGGTGGCCTTGGCTGCCTGTCCCGACTTCTCACGTTGGTGTCTCAGGAGATTGCTGAAGGTCGAAAACTGTCGCCCGTTGCAACCGTGGTCCCAGCACTGGGGCTTGGGTCGGCTCTGGACGACGCGGACGTGCCCGGCCTCCTGCGATACGGCGCTGCCCGAGGACAGGACGGGCGGGGCCTGTACCGGGTACATCATACCCGAGTCGTGCATCGGGGGAGACGGCCGGCTATTAGAATCATGGTCAGTTCATAGTCCTCCTTTCGGGTCGTTAGCATCTATATACGAACCTGTACTGCGAGGAGAGGCTGTGAGCCGAGGGCGGCGGAGGGTAGCCAGGAGAGTAATTCAACCCCATATAGTCACCGTGTGGCCTTTTCGCGTAAATCGTTAGCATCTCTCGTCTGTCGGGGAGTAGCAACGCCAGGCGACTCACATGGGCGAGAATTGGGGTGTGAACATGGGCGAGTGGCTGTGGTCGGGGAGAGGCGAGGTAGAGTAAGAGGACATGTAGGAGCCGGCCATTGTCGTGGCGGGTTCGGCGAGAAGCGAGATCTGCGCCGGCGCGGTCGTGTAGACTGGCACGGGGGATGCCGAAGAAAACTCGTGCATCGAGACCGGCGGCGACTGGGAAGCAGACGAGTAGGTGCTCATGGCGCGACGAGCTCGGGCTGATGTTTTCGAGTCCCGTCGAGCTTGGTCTCGCTGTCTCTTGAGTTCGCGTTGCTCGGGCGTCAGCGTGAATCGGGGCGGGCTAGAAGTCAACGACCGCGAGCCGCTCGGGGGGGTCATGCTGGCTGTGGAGCTATGCCCGACGGAACTCATGTCGTGGCCTAGGAGATCGGGACTCGAGTCCAGGCCTGGCCAGGTAAAGGAGGAGCGGGGAATGCCCATCTCCATCCTGGGATCGAACGCTACTGCTACGGTGCTATTTTTTGGTGAGCTCCGAGCCAGCTGCTCAAGATGTGTGGGAGCATACCTCATGGTTGCAGTCGCTGGATTTTGATTTGGTGAAGGTGAAGGTGAAGAACCCCGTGCTGGGCCGAGCTGTGTCGAGGGCGTGGCTAGGAATTGTGACCGCTTCGCGCTCCACTCAGCATCCAAAGTCCTCCGGGAGGATAGAGAGGGGTGATAAGACGTGCGGGCGGTTAAGGGCGTAGACCGGTGAGGGCTGTAGCTGGTATAAGACGATGGTCGGATCTCTTGCGAGGCGGCCAGTTGATTCTGCTTAAAAGACAACCTGTACGGGGAGTCGATGGGGTGCGAGGTGCGGAATATCCTCTCTACCGTCGAGATCGCGATGCTAGTGCTTGACCTAGGTAGGTGTGAGTAAGAGTCTTCATAGCCGTGCTCAAATCCCGAGTGGTGGTTCATCTTGGGGAAGGAGCTATATGTATGGCTGATGGGGAATGCTGCTGAGGATATAAAGAAGCCAACATACAATGTCTCGACGTCCAAGTCGTTGCCGGTATGTATGGGTTGGTATAACTGAGGGGCCGTGGGCGGTAGAGTGAGATGGCGATCCGAGACTTATAAGAACGACTCCGAGGCGGAGGTGTCTGATAGATATAAGTCTGAGAGCTTGCGAGGGAAGATCTGGAAGAACTAGGTCGGGCAAGCGTTTGGTATTAAAGAACTTCAGCCTTGGTGGTGGTCGTGATGGCAGAAGAGGTAGGAAACCCAAGGGCTTATAAATTTATGAGAGGCAGTACGGTGGAGCACCAGCCAACTTGGACCTTACGTATTGCGCTGGGTGAGAGAAAAAAACGGCGCCCCTGTCAGTTACGATGCTGTACCATAGAGTACATCTCGGTGTCGTGGTCGTGGAGAGGAGCTTGCCAGTACCCAGTACAAGGATAGACGTCTGAAAAGGCGGGTACTACATATGTAGGTAGAGAGCATGGTTGTCTAGGGTGAGGAAGAAGTGGACGTGAGTGGGACCAAGACAACCTCACCACATATGAGGTATGTATGTACGTCTGTACAAGACGCCCCCCCCCCCTGTCCGGCGGACATTCTTCATCGTGTACTGAACCGACCGGGGGGGTATAGACAGGGTACGTGCAGAGAACATGTCCACGATGGGCGGGAGACGGGGGGAGAGCAGGGCAGACAAGGTGGTGGTGAGAAGGGCGGGGGTCAGAAGGTGTGTGTGTATGGGGCGTCTCGGAGGTATTGTACCATAGGGCATGTACTGTATGTATGTACATACTCATACACGTACATAGCCATGCCCATCCGCCCCGTACGATAGCAGTGTGGGTTTGGCGTAGGCTACAGCAATCTCGAGTGTAGGGGTTTCCTGGTATACCCCAGCGATCGATTGCTTGATCATGTTCGGTTCGACAAGGCATCCAGAAATTGAACCCTAGAAACCCTGTCAGCGCCAGAATTATGTCCTGGGTCGACGACAGGGGAGAGACGGCTTAGTCTCTGCCCACACACATGTACCTACATGATTACTTGGTTCCTGGCTTCTGCGTATAACGTAAGTAGCGTTAGCGGAAGGGGGTGGCTGGAGTGACCGGCGGCGTGCGCGTGCTGGCGATGCGTTGCGCCAAAGGCGTGTCCTAGATGTACTCATAGAGCAACAGCTCGGGTCCGCGATAGACTCACGACTGGGGGGGGGTCCTGTCCAGGCGATGGGGGGAGGGGGGGTGGCTAGCTAAGATTAAGTCAAGCGCAACAAGGCAAAGAGGGTGGTGAGCAGGCAGTGTCGACACCTGCGACTCGACTCTCTTCCCCTCTCAAGCCGACCTGCCTTATCCATCCACATATACCGCGTGGCTTGTATGTAGTAAGTATGTAGCTACCATATCGCGTATTGGCGTACGGTCTCCCCTGCGCATCCATAGCAGATATCCTCTCTCCGCTAGGGGTCTGGTGCGGAAGACGAGTCCTGGCTCGAGATTGACCAGTCGGTAATTAGAAACCGCGCGATTCCGTCATCGAGGGATCGGCGTGATCGTTCAGGTAAAAAAAGACCACATCGCAACGGTTACGGGACTAGAAGAAATGACGTGTAAGCCGTCTTCATCATCGGCGCAGGATCTGGTTAGACTAGAGACTCGAATAGAATTGCCGAGCTCAGCGGGCTATAACGATCGAGCACCCATTCGGGGCCGACGTCGAGGGAGCATGGCGTCTACTGCCTCTTTCTCTCTCTCTCTCGCTCTGTTGCTCCTAGCCTCGTCACCTTCTAATTCGGGGCGGGGGAGGGGACCGTCGCCGTCTCATAGCTAGTTGCGACGAGGCGCTCGAAACCCCAACCCCGACCACTGCCGCGACCACGAGATGCAGCGCGGTCGCATGGCAGAGCATGGCAGCAGCAGCAGCAGCAGCTCTGCTTCAGGGCCCCGAATCTAACTGGATCAAGATCCGCAGCGCGTCAACTGTTATTAGGTAGCCGTAGGAATGGAAAATGAAACATCACGCCGCAAGAGAGGGTTGGCTGGGTGTGACGGCGGAGCTGACAGAGAAGAAGAACAGAAGAAATGTTCGATGGGTGGTGGGAGGGGAGGTCGTATTGGCCCACAGGCTCGCAGCGACTAGAGGTAGCGACGTACGTAGGTGCATTGTACTCCGTAGTACGGCGGCGATAGGAAACCGGCGCGGTGATTACTCAACGAGGTACAAAGGATCGGGATCCCGGCTGCAGGGGCAGCGATGAGCAGCTAGCACGCAGGAGGCTAGATACCTGCCCTTTTGCTAGGTACCTCGTGCGTATGTGTGTGTGATAGAGCCTGTCTACCTCCTATGTAAACTTAGCACCTGCTAACCCTGATCGCCACTTGGCCTGATTCGGGGAGCAGAGCACGACGAACGCCCCCCGGAGCAATTTGGCAGGTATCGGGTTGCAATATGTGTGCGCTTGAATGTGTGTGTAGGTATACGCAGGCTGCCCATGTGCCTATCTGAGGTATCATCGAAGTTCGGGTCCGCCATACCCTGAGAGCACCTAAGTGAAGCTACGCTACATAGCGCTGCGACCAGGCGCCCACGTAAATGTAGGTACATAATGTAACTTCAGCAGACAGCGTTGCAAGCGCTGGCGTCTAATTCATAGCCAGCTGTCTGTTCCTACATAGAGGCACCCCCCCCCCCCCTCTCCCTTCCCCCCCGCAGACCTGGAGTCGAGTTCCACTGCTTCATGTACCCGAGTACCCCCGCGAAGGTACATAGGCCAAGTACCTAACCTACCTAAGGTGCTGTCAAGTCGTAGGGTCGGCCGCCGTCTCTAAAGGTCCCATGTTCGAGGGATGGGGTTCGATCGACCCGACCCTGTACATAACAGTAGGTACATAGCCCGTTCTTGGGCACGAATCGACTTCCCCATGGTGCTGTAAATAGGCATGCCATCTACTGAGTATATCCATAGTAACACCTAACCCAGTTTCGAAAAAGCGTCAGTCAAGGGTTCGGAGATGCTCGGCTTATCAGAGAGGAAGGAGTCGAGCTCGCTTCAGATACGCATCGCCGAGCCGTCATTCTGTTTGTGGCTGTTATGTTTCATCGTCGCGCATACACGTCCAGGTAGCTATTTACAATCGTGCTTGGCTCGCCCCCGGTGGGTGAGAAACGATATAGCAGGGTTGGCTGGGGGTGCCTCAGGTAGGTACCTACCCAGATACTTTTGCCTGCCGAGGTACTTGGTCTGCGTCGGACCAGGTAATATAGGAGGTTAGGTACGTAAGGTAGGTAGGTAGGTATGGGGGCCTGGGAGGAGCTCGACTCCCGCTCGACTCGTGGCAACGTACACACCACACCAGACTCCCCGTATCCATCCAGGCCTTCTTCTTCCCTCCCCGTATTTGCTGCATGCTGCCGCTGGAGCCAACGCCGACCGTCGGTCGTATGGCTCGTAGCGCCCTCCCGAGAGGGTACCCGGGGTATATTCACTTCTTTACACTCTCTTCGCCTCAGGTACATGTGGGCATAGGTAGAATGTCCCCGACGAAAGCTCTAGTCATCAATTACCCATATTTTGTTATCAATGGTCTTGGGTGCTCGCCCAGGGGTATTCGTCTAGGTACGGTGTAGGTCTACCTACTCATGTGAGTACCTAGAGGTTAGGAAGCCGGAGTACGGAGTACGGGATTAACGCGTGGTCCGTGTTCCGAGTCCCGCCGCATCCAGTTATGCTTATCTGCCCGCCTGAAGGGACCCTTGCCTCAAGTTATGCGTATCCATCCATGCCGCTGGGAGCTGATGAGAGAACTTAGGGGCGCGCTATCTCCGTCGCCTCTGCCCGCGATTTGGCCTGTGTATTATTGGTGAGGTCAGGTTAGACCTAATAATAATACAGTAACTGCCCGTAGTGTAGAAGTGCGTCTGGCCTGATGCGACTCTAAGACGCCTCCTGCGTCTGGGTACTCTCCACCAAGATCACCAATCTCGGCCACCCCATCTCGTCCGAAACACGCATTCTAAATAAGCCCAGCCGTGGCTGACAACCTCGTCGCCCGCACCCCACTTGCGCAGCCGTGGCCAGTTGGTCCAAACAAAAAAAGAGGGGGGGGAAGAGGGGCTAGCTAGAGCGAAACTGAGCATCTCGTCTTCTATTTTTGTATCCACACGTGGGCAGCCAGGTTGCCGTGTGCAGCGACACCGTCCCCAAGGAAGTCGATCCTGCTCGCGGCAGAGTCTCATAGTCCCGGCCTCACGCCTGGTCGGACAAGAGCTGTTGTGATCGCAACACTTCCTTGCTCCCTGTCTCTGGAGAAGTTCCTGATTCGGCATTCCAGAAATTGGTGACCAACGCTACTGCAAGCCGCAGGTACCTCGAGCTAACGGATTAGGATGGTGACGTTGGATAGCTTCGACGGTTGCTGGGTGATCCGCATTGCCAGCACGAAGTAAGTGTTTCGCCATGTGCGTACGAATACGCCCGCTCCGACCCTCGCTTTTTCTCTCTCTCTCTCTCTCTTGTTTTGTTTACTTTCGCAGGAGCACAAGAGGAAGGACGGCCGGCGAGGTGCTTTCGACGATGGACCTGGTCCAGCTTTCGGCACTCGACCTGTCTGTGCGGCAAGTCAGTGCGCTGTGGTGCCGTCTGCCCCGTCCGTTTACGACGGCCCGCTCCCAGCGACGGCGTTGCCAGTAGGTTATAGCTAGGTACTAGCAGAGGGACGTGTACATACATAGGTAGCATACACATCATACACCGCACACTCGATCTATAACGAGAGGCCCATTAGGCCGCTACTTGCCTCCCCCCTCCCCCTACCGACCTAACGCTCGACGGCGCGACACTAATGCTTGTATGGCAGAAAATAGGAGACCGCGGGCCATCTCAGGTGGCGCTATGGAGGCTTATCCCTTGGAGGGGCAAGGCGTGCCTCGCTTGCACACGATGGTGGGATGTACACAGAATG